AGTGTATTTACCAGGAGTCTAAAGGCACAAAGGGAGAATAAAACGAATAAACTAATAGTTAAAATAGAGTAGATACTTTATTTTGTGAGGGGCATTCTCTCCCTCTCCTCTCAATAAATGAAAAAGATGCCAAGATGAACATTTACTTTGAGGAGTGGCAAGGGGCAGAGGGGCATAGATTTACATTCACAATTTACTGGCATGTGAAGTCAATATATGAAATCTCATACATTTTGAATACTTCCTGAGAAATCTTTCCAGCATAAGACTTGATTAAAAAAATCCTTCTCCACTTAAAGGGTCTCAAAGAAAAGTGAAATTTTAAAAGATGCAGAAGTGAACAATATGAGCAAGTCGTGAATTTCCAGATGCTCTCTACCACACTATTTTTCATTACTGAGGCAGTAAAAAAAATGACACTTACCTGCTGCATGACTTTCATTTGAAAAAGCCTTTTGTAAGTAGTCTAAGTTTTTACAGATCCTTTCACAAGGTTAAGCCTTGCATTAGTGTCTTAAGTCAGGCAAACATCCCATTGAAATCACTGGAAATTTTGCTTGAATTAAAACCAGGTCTGGGACCAATTCCCCCCCCCCCCCAGCTGAAATAACAATTCCCATGTATTCACTACTTCCAGCATATTGATTAGTAAATTTAAATGAACTGGTAAGAAAATGTTTCTGGTTACCAGTTTCATCTCTCCTCCCCCTCCTACAACTTCTTCTTCTGCATCTGATGAATTAAGTGGGTCTTCAGCACTAGACCAGCCATCATTTTCTTCAGAAGCATCAAGTGAATGAGATGTTTTACTCCAACCTTGGTAAATAAAAATTGTTGACAGTCACCAACTTTGCAAAAATGTCCCAGAAACAAGAAAAGCTCCCACTTGTTTTAGTGAATGAAATGGGAGGGAAATATTAAGTGGGAAAATGTATACACTTTCTGGGCCAAGGTCACGGCTAGCGTGAGGTGGCACAACTCTAAAGTAAATTAATCTCGTGGGAGTGGTGAATCTGGCCCTTTATGTTTTCAAAGAGAGAAAAAAAAGATCCCGTGTTTGCATATTAATCCAGTGTACAGAAGTTCTTTTACTTGGAGGAGGTGGAGATAGGAATAATTTTCAAGCTGTGTTCTGCTGGGAACTAGCACATAGGTATGACACTACCCACATAGGTATGACACTAGCTAACCAGCTAACTGGTCAATTAGAACATGACAAGTGACAACAGCAGCCTGGTTTTTCAAACTGTAAAGCACTTCCCTGCTGATGGGAGTTTCAGGACTTCAGCACTTCATCCAATCACATTATGACTATTACAGAATTGGTTGCTATTAAAGCTGTTGAAGAGAGCATCCCAAGAACAGAGCATGCATTATGAAATGTCACTAGTTATTTGGCAGAAGGTACCTTGTAGACTACTTATATTTGGTAACAAGTAACACAGGCTATAAAGCATTTGGCTTATTTACAATACTGAAGCATGTCCAGTATAAAGTTAAACCACAGGCCCTACTAGTAGCAACATGCTTTTCACTGTGGCCAGGAGTTTAAAAACACAAACAAAACATACATATAGTTCAGAGAAGGCCCAGGTTCAGATAGCAAATTACCCCCAGGCTATGAGTGTTCATTGGAGGCTTTAGAGCCATATGAATTACAAATACAGATATGTTGTAGCAAA